TACTGTTTACCCTGCATGCCATGCCTTTACTGCAGAAACCAAAAAAGAAGCAATGTTAGGTTGACAGCTGCCTCTGATTAAACACACTTAACTTTGTTCCTAAATACAACATGAGAGGTGTTAAGGTAAGACTTAAGAGACAATGCTGTAGAGTGCGGTTTGGCACAAACTGAAGCTGCTTAAAGTTATTATTGTATCCCATTATGCAAAAGTCTGCTGAAAATAAAACATACCGTCAGGGCTCTATCCTCTCACTTCTCATCCCTTGATTCAAAATAATGGAATCAAAGGTTTTAGGGTGACTATTTTTATATGCAAACAAATAGATGTGGTGGCTCATTGTTCCATAGTGTCTCAACTTTTTATCATTCAGAATTTACTAAAACTGTGATAAAATAACAGTATGTTTCTGCTGCTTTTATTTAACAGTATGAGGGGAAATATGAAATAACAGTCATGTTATTTACTTTCGGTAAACTGAATCATGTGTCATTGTAAGAAGAACTTAACGACAGGGAAACATCATATTCACACAGTAAGCTGTGCATTAAACTTGTATTTAATTGTGCACTTTCATACAACATACTGAATTAATCATTTCCACTGCTAAATCTTTCATAACTGTCCTCATGCCTTGACTCTCACTGGGCTCACTGCAAATAAACCAGTGTAAAGACACATTAAATAAATATATATCAGGCCTCAGGCCTATATCAAGGCAGTGAGACCGGCAGAAAAGTTGTAGACAAATCAGACAGCACATAAGAAGGCCCTCATTCAGCCCTACAGTTTAAATCTTACATGGTGCAGTTCATATCTGGAAGGCCTGCTTGTTTCTTACATCACAGCTATGTCACCATTTGGAAGGAATAAATGTGATTTATACGCCCTGAGATGCTTAAGGGATGGGTCAGTTTTGAACTGCGTATTCAAGGATCCTCCCTCCTTAATAACAGGCTCCAACTCTGAGCTCCAGGGAGGATCCCCACTGTGTGTGTGTGTGTGTGTGTGTGTGTGTGTGTGTGTGTGTGTGTGTGTGTGTGTGTGTGTGTGTGTGTGTGTGTGTCTAAGTACTGGTTGGGTTGAGTGTAGCAGTGGGGGCGGACTGTATTTTGGTTTAGCTGTGCACACGGCGTCTCTCAGAGTCTGATCTGAATCCAGGATGTGTGAGCAATGATTAATTCCAACACTGCAATAATGTTAGTCAGCAAATATTATATTTCATCACTCTTTGAATAAAGTAAGCAGCCGCTGCCAACTGAACCACTAAAGTGGTTTTCCAAAAGAGAAAATGATATAGGACTATTAGCAGACAAAAATAGTCCATTTTAGAAGTACAGAGAAATTTGGCAGATTGTGATAAAACATTAATAAAAATGTCAAAAGTATTCATATAAAAAGTACATACTACATTTTTCTATTCAAATGAATGACTTTAGAGAATTATAGATGTTTAACTGCAAGTATTTGTGTCAAGAGCTTGTACCTTCAACTTCTTATTTACAAAAACCTATCTTCTAATAACGCTGTTTATCTTAATACAATGATCTAAGAGGAAGATTTTACTTCTATGTAAGTAAATTGTCAAGGGAAAAGGTTAAGTTAGCTAATAGTTAAAAAATGAGGGGAATTTTCTTTTGTTTCTATATTTGTTCTCATAACTGGCTTTAAATAGTTTTTAACAGAAGCTTGCCTTCAAGGCAGAACACATCACTGCACATGGAGTTTAAGCTCAAGTATTCTGGAAATGCACTTTACTTTATGAATGAGTTGGGCAACAAATGACCTTTATATTTTTAAGTGTCTCCCTGTCTCACACTGTATTCAATGAGCGGTTGTTGTTTATGCTTGCATTTTGTCATTACAGCATTGTAAGCACATCATGTTTTAAGAGGATTTTCATTAAGTACTTAGAGAGTTTGTGGTGACATCACTCTATTCTATAGGTTCAGACAGACGTCTGAGTGCAGAGACATTTTACTATGAAACAATGTGGACTGAATCACATGATTTGTATTTAAAATTGTAGGATTACAAACAAAAGCTAAAACTATTTGACTATCTTCCACACTGCACATTTCCCCAAAGTCTGATGATTGATGTCATATAAATGTAGGTACTCATGACAGTATGTAGTAAAAATGCAGGACATACAAGGACAAATACCTCTTGGTAACTGGCAGGAAGGATCAAATTGTGTCACCTCTGTCCCACTCTGGCTTTAACAAAGCAGCACTCTTAACAACTGGGAAAAAGAAGACAAAAATATAGTTGAGTTCCTTGAGTGGCCACACGAGTCTGGCTCTAAAAGCAAGTCAATCTCCATAGGGGTTAATGGAAATGGAAATCTTTGACTCGCCTTTTTAATTGAATCAAGGCTTGAAATTGAGCAAACTTAAAGGCAAGACCACGTTGAGTGACAGATGAGTGCAGCTACCTGTTTGATGTCAAAGAATGAATGAATATTTAATTATTTTAATATCGCAAAAACACAACAAAAGTAATCTCTTGATAACAAAAAGGGAAACTTACTCTTTGTTAGATTATTGGTTACATTACAGAGAACCAGCACGGGTCTACCATGAGCAAGAACTTGGCAACATCTGGAAACAGTGTTAAAAAAAATCTTCCTTTTAACAGGCAGAAACCTCGGACAGAACCAGACTCACTGATCGACAGCTATCTGCCATGAACAAGAAAGTGGGAAAGATAGTCGGAATATATATGTTGTGTTTTGCTGTGGGTTTCTTTTGGAAAATTGTTCATTCAATATATCTATTTGGGCAGCTTAATGTACTACCAGACCTTCTGAGATGTCAGCTCTTTAGCCTTTTTTGGTGAGTTAAATTCCAGTGATATTCTATTTGTATGTTAGATCCATCTGCAGATATCTGTGCTAACCCTTAACTCCCAGCTCCTTCGTCTTAACTCTTTTCCAGATATGGTCACTTCTCTCTCGAAAAACAAAAAACAAGATGTTTTTGCCATGAGCCAAAAGGCTAAAAAAAAAAACATGTCACATAGGTGATGTCATGGTGGTTATTTCCACGTTCTTTTTTAAAACAGTCTTGGGTATGAAAAACTTGAGAGAGAAATAAATAAAGGATGATGACTCACTGATATCAAAAGTGACACCAATGACAGGGAAATCCACCCAACTAGTTTCCAGTTCAAAATTAGCTGACAGCATTTTGTCTTTTTTCAAGGGGGAACTTTGTTATATTGAGTATTTTGTCTGAAAATTGAAAATGTTTTGTTGGAAGTCACCTTTTGTTCATCAAATTTTACTATTTGCTACATTGTTTGAAATAAAGGACATCCTGTAATCAAATCCTGTTGGATCTCTTCAGTACTATACACTCCACCCACAGCATCGTAAAGAACCGCTCTTACTTTCTCAAGTGTTGATTCTGCAGTGCCAGTAAAGCTCAGCAAACAGGCCAGTGTTTACTCTGTTGTTACTCCCGCTGAGGTGACAGACGACAGGAGCATGGGGCTACGAGCTGTAAACAAGAACAGCGGTCAGACACGGCAAGAAAGGTGAATTCCTGTTAGAGGTGCAGGAAGAGGGTGTTCTTGTGAACTTCCTTGATGTGTTTCTTCCTAACAGCCTCTGACTGAAGCATGTTTACATTGGGGGAACTCTTTAACTGAAATGTCAAAAATATTTTCATCAAACTTCATTTTATCTACTTTGATAATATAGCTAATTGTATTTGTCCTTTACATTGTGTGTATCGTTTATAGTATGTAACTATTTTTTTCTGAACATTAAGATTTGTTTGTTGATCTCAATTAAACCAACTTTAAAAAGGGTACTAGGCTGCTATGTGTTTAAATAAACATCCACAGTGGAAAAGTCTCCAGGGTCATACAAAAACATTGAATCTTTAATGCTCTAACATGATTGGAGTTAGCTTTAATCAAAAGTTTAACAAAAGTTTGACATTAGATTTTTTTTAAAGTATCCTGCTATGATATTGAAATACATATCTTTAACCTTAGTGCAGGAGGAAAAAAATCTGTGATTCTTCCTCTACAGGAAGTTAGAATGAACATTTCAGGGAAAGTATTAAGAGCGGAAAAGCTGGTTTATTTGTCTGCTCTTTGCTCTTTCAAAGAACTAAACAAATTAAACAAACTTTTCTCATGACTAAAGGGACTGGAGAAAACATACATCTTAAAGAGGCCATGTTTATCAGGAATCAAGAAATAAAGAATATATCCATAATGTACTAATGCTATTTCTCATTAAAATGTTAATCAAAAAATTAAAAGATTCTTTTTTTTAAAGCCCTCATCTTTTATCAACGTGTCTCTTACATTATCTTAATGTTAGTCTTAGCCTGTTTTTGTTTAGCCTTTGTGTTTTTTAAGTGCCGGATGAATTATTATAATCTGCCGCACAAATAAAAGCCTTGGTAAGTTGTTCTAAAGTGGCACTTAGCTACTGAACTTTAGCCAATATGAAATCTAAACTAACAATTTGACCTTTGTTTTTTTTTTAACCATACACAACATAAAGTACTCAGAGCTGCTTTTCATCAGCCTACTGGACACAGATATAGTAAATACCAGAGATTGTCTCGATTGGAGCAACATGCAGATCAAGGAAATTCCATATCTCTGCCACAGATTCACAATCAATGCTTTGGAAGTATAGTCTCTGATACAGACAGGGCAAGTCTATGCTGGGCAAATCTGATGCAGCTCTGAAAATCCAGATCTGAGAAGGATTGCAAACAGTCTATGCTGAGAGAATAAAAGAAAGAAAAGGGGGTTAATATAACTTCGTGTTGTCTCTTAACAGATATTGCATCAGGTATTGACAGGAAATTGCACTGACAGGGAACTTTGGGCATTTAACCGTGCAAGCAGAGTGAAACTTTTAATGCAAATTACATCAGCAGGACGGCCAATCAGAGACCGTTAACTCACTGCGTCAAAGCCACTGGCAACCAATCAGCGGTCACCACGATAGTAGAAAAAGATCGCAGGCGCAGCTCTTCTTGTTCAGCAGTTCAGAGTAACAGGGCTCCGGGTCACCAGGGAAACCTCAAGGTTTCCACCGAATTCAATAAGGATACCCGATTGTTTCTGATTTCGGACACAGCGCCGGCCGGATTTACAACCATGGTGGTGGTAGCAGCAGGGACCGCGGGGACCCACAAAGTGCTCCTGATATCCGGAAAGCAGTCCGGCTCGTCCAGCGGCTCACAGGCTGGCTTCAACCGGCCCATTTCTGTGGTTTTACCGTCAGCGGCGAGCCAGGCGTCGTCGGACTCAGATTCAAACTCCTGTGTAGGGGTGCCCATACGAAAAAGACAGAGGCTCACACACTTGAGTCCAGAAGAGAAAGCACTTCGCAGGTTCGTTTTTTGAAATTAAAATGCCTTGTATTGAACTGAATGTGTGTGTGTGTGTTGGGGTGGGGGGGGGGGGGGTTAAGCTTTATTTTCTTACCGAACGACCGGTCATTGTCCAGGCGGGGGTTTACGACAGGGAAACGCCCAAAGATATCGATCTCTTCCAGGAACAATAGTGAACCGATTTCACGTTTAAATCTCTGCTCAGTGGAAATGGGTCAATGTTGCCTCATTGTATTTGAAAATTAGGCCATCTCTGAGCAATACAAAACGAGCCTGCGGAAGAAGGGGAAGTTACTCTTAATGTTCTGATCGTGTCACCTTTTGGACTTCGGTCTGGCTTGTCAAGCTGCTATCTGAGTGATTTGACTGTCGGTGGAGCCGCCCGGCTGTTACAGAGCAGGACACTGATATCCTGATATGCCTGCGTGGCAGGAACATGGCCGGTGATTGCGCAGTACACTGAACTCAAGACATGTCAGGGAGCTTAGTCAGCAGCATCATGGAAAAGCATGTTACAAATCCCGGTTTTTTTTTTTCCATGTCCTTTATTTATTTTTTTTCTTACATTTTTTTTCCAGGAAACTCAAGAACAGAGTCGCAGCCCAGACAGCCAGAGACAGGAAAAAGGCCAAAATGGGAGAGCTGGAACAGCAAGTCCTGGAGATGGAGCTGGAGGTAAACAAAAAATAAACAAAAAATGCTATTTTAATGTTGGGTAGGAATGCAGGATTCCTAATACAAGAAAGTGCTATGTGAAATCCCCACTTTGCCCACTTTCCCAAAAATGCCTACAAGTCAGCTCATATTCTACACACCATCTCACGCCACACTGACATTATTCAACGACTGCTCTACCAAAAACACTAAAATATGTGTCCCCTATAAAATGCAGCCAGTTTCAAGTACAAACATCAGTTTTTTTTTTCTCCTCCTACAGAATCAGAAACTTCACATTGAAAACAGACTGCTTCGAGAAAAGACAAGTGGCCTACTAACAGAAAATGAGGAACTGAGACAGAGACTTGGGTTGGACACCCTCGACTCAAAGGAGAAGGTAAGATTTTAACAGACTGTATAGAAGAGGGAAGCAAGTTTGGTGTATTGACTTCTCAATTAACCGTCTTGTCTTCTATTTTTGCCACAGGTTCAGGGTATTTTGTCCAACGGGAACGAAACAGATTTGGGGATCGGGTCTTCTGAGTCCGCAGCACTCAGGCTACGTGTGCCTCCGCAGCAGGTGCAGGCCCAGCAGTCCCTAAATCTGAAGACTTCTCAATGGATACAAACAGTCCTGACACTACAGACACTGAGGTAAGTCTCTAACTTAAATCCTGGTCCTAAGACAGCTCTATAATAAGGCAGAGTCAGGTCATGGGTTACTAGGCTAATCTCCTGTTCTCTCCCCCTCCTCACTAGTCTGATTTGCTACTGGGCATTCTGGACATCCTTGACCCAGAGCTGTTCCTCAAGTCTTGTGAGCAGGAGTGCCAGGAGCCGCAGGTGCTGCTGGTCGGAGGGGGGAACCCAGTACCTGCCGCCACACCTGCGCCTCTGGGGGCCCCACCAGTTAAGCTGGAGGCCCTTAATGAACTGATCCATTTTGACCACATCTACACCAAGCCCGTGGAGGAGGTGAGCAGTGGGCTTTGCAGCGACTCTGAGAGCGACACAGACGAGAACATAGATGAGGAAGACTTCCCTGTGTCCGAGGTGGTGGTGGTAGAGGAGGAGACGGTGTGCGTCAAAGACGAGCCTGAAGAATTGGTCATCCCCAGCTGTGACACTCACAGTGAAGTGGATGACTTTTTCTCTGAAACCTCCCCCTCTGTCATCGGCGGCCTGGACAAGGAAGCCTGCTTGGCGGACACCTACAGCGACTCCGGATACGAAGGGTCCCCTTCCCCTTTCAGCGACATGTCCTCTCCCTTGTGCTCTGAGAGCTCTTGGGAGGACATGTTTGCTAATGAACTCTTCCCCCAGCTAATCAGTGTCTGATTCCACCCAATAACTTATGTAATATACGCGTAAGAGCTAATGTGTAGTGTTCAGTAACTACAAATGCTTCATAGTCACAGAACACAACTGAACCCACTTTTACCATATATAAAGTTAAACAAATCTCCTTCTATATTACAGCAGGTCTGTACCACTGGCGATGTTGCATTGACTTGTGGGAGATGAGCTCACGACAGCTTCTATTGGCATAATTTACTGCAGAGGAATTAAGATTGAGTCGAAATCTTTCACTGCTCTTCAAAATGAATAGTGGGTGGAATCCAGTATTTCTGTAAATTAATAAGGGGGTTGGGGACTTATCATTTAAATAAGACTTTTTTTTTTATTTATTTGTTTATTCTGCTTCGGAGTCCTTGTATATCATGTAAAAACGCTATCTTCTAATTTGTTGCTCGCTCTTCTTGTAGTCTAATTACTGCATTAAAAAAACTTTTGCATTGCATTTCGTCTCCTTGTTTCTGTCAGTACAGCTGCTCATACAGGGGGACATGGACATTATCAAAACAGTTTCATATTTTCATCAACTTAGGTCTCGGACAACAGCTGTTAAATGTGTGTAAGATGTAAATTGTGCCATTGACAAATCTTGTGCATTGAAGCCTCTTGATAAAGGAAGCTTGTACTGATAAATCCCTCAGCAGTAAGTATAACTTTTTAAAAATGAGTGCTTTAGATAAATTGGAGGTGTTGCAATAGTGCTTAGTGAGTTTGCCCCATGTACAGAGGCTGAAGTCCTCGAGAGCGGGTGACCCAGGTTCAAATTGGACATGTGGCTCCTTTCCCGCACATTGTGATCACTCCTCGATATCTGACCCTATCAACTTTCCGGTTTCTAAAATAAAGTTGTAAAAAGCCCCAAAAATATCTTAAAGAAGTCACCAACAGTTTCACAAGGTTTAAGTTAAACAAGTATGAAGGTGATTGACAGATTAATCAACACTAAAAGAAAACTAATTTTCAGACATGCTGTCTACAGGGAGGTCCTAATGAGAAATGATCGAAAAAAGATCTCTGTTGAAAAATATTGTGACTATCTTAGTTCAAATCAGATAAGCAGTCTGTAAGACTTGATGGAAAAAGCAGGAGTTTTAATAATAGGATTTTTTTAAACATAGGTCGTGCTCTTTAGTTCAGTTTTAAGGGTTTAAGTTTAGGCTTTTAAGATTATTGTTTTAAAAAAGGCTCATCAATTTGAATCACGTCATCTTAAAGCTATCTCTCATTAACATGCATAACTTAACCATACTATTGAATATAATGTAATCTCATATATGTGCAGACTCAGTGTGTATCCTCCCTATCGCTCATGTACCAGCACAACGTTGCATTACCAGGAAGTGGGCCTGCTTGCATTACATAACACTTCTAGTGTAACCGGGAGTTTCCTGGGAGTCTAACCTGAGACAAGTTTCAGTCTCCACTTGCCTGCAGAAATAGGTCACTGTTAGTATTGTTGGTGTTTTGGGTAGATGTAAAGAGAATAGGTCAAACAGGGAACACACCTTTCCCCTCAGGTCATTATTCATATCTAGATGAGGTCTTATTGTTTGTGTCAAGGGAGACAGTCACCCCTTTACAGGACCCCCAAGGCTGTGATTGGAATGACCACCTATTGAACAAAAGCCCCTGGAGTCTCAGTTGTTGTAAAAGGCTGATTAGATCATGTTTTTAGATGTAGCCCCGATGTAATTGACCTTAACTCAGCAGGGTTGTCTTTCTGTGTCTGTTAGCTTCAGCTCCTGTTCACTGATTACAGAGCTTTTCATTGGCTGAAGTAGGTAAGCATGGTGACATCAAATTATCTAGAAGAGAAAAAAATAAAACTACAAGTCAGCTATTTCTTTGTAATTTTCAGATCCTTTTTTTCTGTAGTGGTTGGTTAAAGGAACCACACCAGCCTTTGACGTATGTGTGTCTCAGCTACCCTGAAAAAAAGTGTGGTAAGAAATTTACAGTTTCCTGCTTGTAGGAGTAAAACCACATGATGTGAATTGGCCTGACAGCTGTGGAGCTGAAACTGAAAAAAGTCTGATGGAGCAGGTATCTCGATTTCTGGTCTATTTAGGGACAACAGGCTTATTTCAGTTTCTACATGTGTCTGCCTGTACTTTAAAATAATAAGTACTGGCAAAAAATAAAGAAAAACATAGCTTAGGTAAAGTAGCATGTTCACAAGTCTCGAATAATCATTTTGTAAAGTTTAGCGAGAGACATCTTCAACTTTAGGGGTTTATCAGTAACAGGATGACATCACATGCCGTAATCTGAACCATCACTTTGATTTGATTAAATGTACATTTTCTATTGTTACTGGAACATTTGAAGGCAAAGGTGAGGCCTTACTCTGAAGCTTTCTATCTCTGGATGAGAGAAGAGTAGGAGGTTTCACAATGACCTTGTGGATCTGCAGATATTTGAAAACCTTTTCTTGAGCTGTCTTTTAGTAGAAGAATAGTTCATTGTGTTCAGGCAGTGTCTCACTGTGACTGAAATGTAAGAAAAAAGCCAAAGAAAATCCAACTTTACCCACAATCACCTTTCAAACAACTGATATTTGCTTAAGTCTCGGGGGGAACAAAATTACTCTCCAGCCTTCAACGTTTGAGGTGGTCAAACTCTAAACCTATAGTCGCCTGGAGTTGTCATGTAAAACCTCATAAGACCTCTCTGTGAGAGTGTACTTTAACAACTTTTGTTTCAGAATGTTTAAGTGTCAAACTGTTTTATTAACTTACTACTTACTGACTTGGTAACTTTTCTGGTGCAACATGCTATTCATTTTTTGATCATGATTTTTTTGATCATGTTGGAAACAGCATGTAAATGTTTTATTTATTTGCTTTTATCTGTGTAAACAGGACCTGAATCCTCCAAATATATAAGGACCTGTTATTCCAAAAATGGACATGTTATCTCTCTAAACTGTTTTTCTTCATATCAGTGCAAAGTGCAGACGAGAAGTGCAAATGTTTTCAAAAGCATTCCAATAATTTTGAGTTGGCTTTGGTTGCATGTAGGAAATCAGTTTATTTAAGGAGAAAGAGACACTGTGCTAGAGTTGTTCATGTACAGATACCATCATCAGTATCTGATACTGCCTAAAATGCACCATTGGTCAATGCACCAATCCCATACTGTAATTAATTAGCCTCCAGAAACTTCAACAGTTTGTGGTAAATAATCATATAACTGTAACCAACAACAGTACAGTGCATATGGAACATGCAAAGTCAGTCTAAGCTAACCAAATGGCAGCAACTAGTGTTTATTCACCAAGAGTATATGTTCTTTTTTAATGCTGCTGGTTTTGGGGGGATATTAGGTGTTGGCAAATACTAAAATCTGACAAGTTACAGGTTGCACTCTGTATCAGGAAGGAAACATGGTCCCATAACATCGCTACCAAACACTTAAAAAAAAAAAAATATATTGTATTTCTATTCATTTAATGAAACCATATTTTAGCTATTTATATTTTGCTATAGATGTTTGCACGCCTCTCAATGCAGAAAAGGGACGATCAGCAATTCTGATATAAAAAAACCCCTATTGACCAACCCCACCTGTGGTTAAATTGTCTTGAGGTGATAAGCAGCAGGTCACAAGATTAGATATCTTGTACGTTTTTCACTTTAAAGGAAGAATTTAAGACGGTTTGATCCAGTAGATGTCGCTCTTGAGTACCATCCATAAACCAAAACAAACCGCTGTTTGGCGACACCGTCGCAATTCTGAAGCCTCCGCTCTCCTCCAGCGGCACACCTCCAACCTCCCTCCACTCGCGGTCGCATGAAGGAGATATGAATTAGAACGCACCGTAATTAAGCACAATTTAGCGCAAGCGGCGGAAAAAAATGTCCTTGGCTCGAACTGCAATTGCCTGTGGTCTGCATTGTTGTGTTAGCCGGCTAATGTTAGCACACTTTGGTCAACTCATTGCTTCACATTGAACATAAATTGAAACTCAGAATGACTGTGATCTAAGCACACTAACTTTTCTCTAGTCCTTGACTAAAACATACGCAAGGCCGTCCCGTCTATGTAAACATGATGTAAACACGGCTCTGACAACAGTACAGCTGATGGGGCTCATGCTTCTCACTCACTGGAGACATGATTCAGAGAGATATTTATAAAGGATATACTTGAGTTCTGCTATATTTATGTGTAAATGTTGCACATTCTTCCTTTAAGATAGATTTATTGAGTTGATTATTGTTGCATTGATGAAGACAGGCTCCAAATCAGTGTGTGTTTCAAAACCAGTATGAAACCAAACGGGCTCTTGATGGCAAAGTTCTTAAATTAGAACGAGATCTGTCACGCTAATGTGACACTGTGGTCATCTATGTACTGATCTGGATAAACCGTCCTGCAGATCTTGGGTTTCTGCACTCAGCAGTGTTATAAAGAGAACTGCTGAAGCACCACTGGCAGCTATAACTTCAATGTGAAACAGGTTTTACAGTTGTTTTACTTGTCCTTAAAATATACACAGCAACGGGGTGAATCTACTCAGGCAAACAATAACAGAAACTGTGTAAATGTTGATTCAGCTAAACTTATTTTTCCAACAAGGATTCTGAGAAGTTAGTGAACAAAAAAGAGAAAGTGCCAGCTGACCACACAGGCATTTAAGCGAGTCGTTTGTAAAGCCAACAAGAAGTTCAAGGCAGCAGGACGCGCATAATGTGGCTCATGTGACAGTTTTCTCATGAGAGAGGTTATGGTGTCGCCGGGCGGGGGTCAGCTACAGTCACACTGTGCAGTCGCCAAGCCTCAAAGGCACAGCGAGTTCAATCCCCTGACCCAAAGAGGAATGAAAATCACTCTAACAGGCACCTTTTGACTCCTTCAATAAATGCTTAGCAGTGGCTGAACCTAAGCTGGAGAGAGGAGGGGGAAATCGCCCTGGTATTTAGGGCACTTTGTGAATGATTCAGTCGGGGGAAAGTGAGTCATCTTCCCCCCGTCATTGCCAACAAACAACATCTGTCCAGCTCTATTTGAGAACATGGAGGAACACGAGTCACCGGCATGTTTAAAAAGCAAATCGATGCACTAAATTACTTGTTAATGTTCCAGAAAAAGGCCTGTCAATCCTGTCTTCCTGTTTCAAAAGGGAGCGTTTCCATTCCTATTATTTCTGTGTCTGGCTTGTTTTTCCGGATTCCAAATGATCACCTAACATACAGT